TCCCTTTGGTCTCTCTTTTGTATCCTTGTTTTGTTCTTCCTTTCTGAGATGAATTTATATGATCTAGATGCTTCTCTTTTGAATCTCAGAATCTCCTTCTCGCTATATAGAGCCAGCTTCCCTTTGAACTTCATTGCTCTCAGTGAAAAGGGGACCTCTGAGACATAAGGCACTTATTTTCCCTGCTCCTTTCGCTGCCGTGTTAGTGCTTCAAATTTTATATACTTTACCATGGACGCATGCCTTCTTTATTCTGCTTTTGAACTTGTTCCACTTGTTCATTTTTCACTTTGTACAGAGAAACCTGAAGGCCTTTAAACACAGACTCTTTCTGTAGAACAGCAGTTTTTTAACGTACGTTAATTAGTACACCAAATCATAACACATTGTGGAATTACATCTGTGTAACTGGGATGAGAATATGGCTCACAGTTTACCTGAAGTTTCCCTTCAGCATCATAGAATATCATTTGAAGAGTCCTGAAACTGCAGAAAGAAGCAATTGTTTTTATCTGATCTAGGATTTGCAAGTGTAGGGTTCATGTAAAATATGTAGATGATGGTCCAGGTGTGGTAAGCATATGGTTAGCTGCAATCTTTTGGGTTTTTGTGAAACAAAGACTCAGCCTTTGAGTTTGTGAGCTATTATTACTTTCCCTGTCATTTCATTCTGTGACATAAATCAATTTGGTTAGGCAAGTATTCTGCTGTGTACTTTTTATGACTATTATTTTGAACCTTTTTGTTGGAGCTAGGGCTCGGTGTTTTACTCAGAAATTGCTTGTATGTGTTTGTTTGTTTGTTTGGTAATAGCTGGTTATAATCATGTCTCATACCACCTAGAAGCAGAAGCCCCTTCATTGTTTTGGGGGAAAAATGACTCTTGCTCCAAATATTAGCAACAGGAGATCAATTCCCTGGTGCAAATGCTATTTCCGTGTTTGTTCAATGTAGTTAGATTACTTAGCTCAATTTACAAAATTTCATTTTAAAATTTCAAGAGAGGTTTTTCCTTTTTGTTTTGTTTTTCCCTGGTGTTTACAGGAATTAGCGTGGAATTTCTTTGCTCTCCTCGATCAGATGCAGCAATGGAGAACATTATCGCCTGCTTACGTGCTCTACAAGCACTCTTTGACGTTCCATGGCCGAGGTCTAAAATAGGCGCTGATCAGGTAACAGCGATCAAAAGCCCCAAACTGAATTGCAGGGATTTGGGAAGAGCTTAGACCACTCAAGGCCATAAGGATTTTCACTTGTTGTCCTATGGCACTGGCCTAGAATGGGCCAGTCTTCCCCATTCAGAGACTAAACAGCATGCTGCTGTGATAATTTGTTTAGAGAAAGTGAATGTGATTTACTCTTTGGTAACAAGTGTCATATCTCATTATCAGTTCTCTCCATGAAAAACAGTTCTGTTTTTTAAAGAGGAACATTACGTGGTCTGCTCACAGCATGGAAAGGCTGTCTTAAGTATATTCCATTCTGTCATCAATCTGTCTTAAGTGTAATCTTTGCTTATTTGTAGCATGTGTGCTTTATGCCTGTTACCTATCAAATGAAGATATTTTTGTTTTGTGTATATTTGGTGATATTTGTGAATTTTTTAGACAGAACTGAGGTAAGAAACAATAACAATTTGTTTGAAAAAGGGGCGTAAGTGGATATAAACAGAACTAAGACTTTTCTGGTGTAACTGAAGTCTTCTGCTTTACAATTCCCTATTTAAAACAATTACTTGAATTTTAGGTTCAGAATTGCATTTCATATGAAAAGCTGTCTTGCTCTTATTTTCATTAGTTCTAGTCATTCAGAATTTATATAGAATAACAAACAATTTCTGTGTTGAAATAATGTCAGTTTCAGTAAAGATTTGCTTTCACTGTTTCACTAATTCATTAGTTTCAATAATGTTTCGGTTGCATTAATAAAACTATGTTTAATGGAATGTTTACATTCCGGTTTTATTTTTTTTCTATTCTTACAGTTAGGCTTCAACAGTTCAAAAATTAAATATTATGAGGGAAAGAAAGTTGTTGATGCGACTTCTCCTCTTGAAAAACTTTTAAGGACTATTCAGAAAATTCAGAAACCGATAATTTGGTGTTCAAATTACATCTTCAGTGCATGTGAAAGCTCATTGCCTTTGTGTAGCAATAAAAAGGATTTTTTAGCTTTCAGAATTAGATGAAGGCGAGGAGAGTTTCCAACAGAGTGACAACAAATGTACAATTTTTTTAAATTACTATTCCACCAAATACAATCAGTACAGAAGTCATTTCGTAGCATTGAGCACTTGCCTATCTGAACATGAGAAATGCAGTAAATATGTAAAAAGTGAGGGAATCCTTGTAATTTTCAGTTATGCCTGGGCAAGTATCTGCAATGAGATAATTTGTTCCAGCATGATAAAGTACACGTTTCTGACAGTTCTCTCTGTTTTGTATTTAGAGATTTGTTGTCTGAATATTTCTGAGGATGACTTATGAACATTGATCGGGTCATGAGGCAGGCTATGCAGTTATTTTGAGGATAGTAGTAAAGAAGTTTAGCTGTGACTCTTGAAAGAAAAAGCAGGAGTGGTCACTTTGAAGCTTCAGTCTACATACCTACAGCCTCAGAATGAGGGAGGCAGAATTCATCACGTATTGTGCTCTCTCTATGTTTACTCAGTTAATAGAATATTGAGAAAGTATTAAATCTCTTACGCTTGTTAAAGGGCTATCAAGGGAAGTATTCATAAGTGCAACAAGCAGCATATGGAAGAAAGCAGAAAGGGGCTCATTTAAAACTTTAAAAGTGAGCAGTTAAATTCAGCGTGCAGTATCAGTTGGAGGTAGGAGTTTACGGGTTGAGAATATTGAAGAAGAGAAGTATGGTGTAAGTAAAGCCATCAGGGACTTCAAAAGAGAGGTCGAGCAACTTATGTTTA